AAATTTTTGAGTAATATCTTTCATTTTTTATTTAAATGCAAATATACATCAAACTTCTCAAAAACATTATTAATTTTTATTGAAGTATTAAAATTGGTATTTCCTTGTAAAGGTTGATTAATATTTAGAAAGAAATGCTCCTATAGTTTACTGTGCATATTATATAGTACAGAGAAAAAATAAAATAACATTGTACACTCTTTAATGCAATAGATTCAATATATTTTTTGGAATCGTAAATATATGAATTAACTAGAAAAATTAGGAAACTAAAATAGGTTAATGCTCTTTTACCCTTTACTTATTCATATTTTATGATATTGCAATAACAATGACGTTAGCAGTGAATTATATGCATACTTCTGCATAGTGAATTATAGAGTACAAAGAAAAAAATAATAACCTCAGGTAAAAATATATTAACATTTTATGATATTACAATAATAATAATGTTAGTATTTTGCCTACCTGTTAAGACGCAACCATAAAATAATAGTAACAAGCTCAGGAAGAATAGATGAAGAAGAGAACGATTAGAATAAAGTTAATGGAGTATGTATAGGTTTTTCCAAGAGCTCAAAAGTCAACAAGTAATTATTGAATATAGATTTAATTTAGATGCAGCGATTGGTGAAGTGAATTATATGCATACTTCTGTATAGTGAATTATAGAGTACAAAGAAAAAAATATTTACCACAGGTAAAAATATATTAACATTTTATGATATTACAACAATAATAATGTTAGTATTTTGCCTACTTGTCATAAAATTATAGCAACAGTAAGATTAAAACAAAATGTTTTTAATCGTTTAATTTCAAGAATATAAGCGAATAATTTGCGTTTTTTTTTATAAGTCAGATATGTGTCATATGTGAATATATTTTGTAACTGCCCTGAATTTAAGCAATGTTTTTTGTTAAATTATTTTCTGCAATAATTGCAGTGGTCATAAAACTTTTTCTCACTACCCTTCGATAATTCAGGTAATAAGATCAATTTTATTATAATTTATTTATGGCACGGGTATAAAATAACTAATTTTACATAGAAATTTTACCCTTCACCACAAGGGGTATTCTCTATGCATATATATATATTCTGTGTTTGAAATGGATCAACATCAGTTTGCATCGAGAAAACATTCCTGTAACATCGTGGATATTTGAAGATTTTAGTACCAACAAAAAAGTATTGCTGAAATGAATTCTTTAGAGATTGCTGAACCTTTTTATTTGAATATGCACTTTCAAACAAGATATATTACCATAGGAGATGAAGTGATTACAGTTTGCTTAGAAAAAATGATGGAGGACGGAATTTATTTAGAGACAACATATATACAAACATGGGTAATTTACCGTCTCATGTCTATTTGCTCTTCCTCGGGATTGTGGACTGTCATTAGCGAATATACAGAAAATTTGGAAGAGGTAGATGATAATAGCAATATGTACGTTCCGGAACAACCTTTACAATGTAACGAGGTTTCCAGCTCAGGCATAGTGGATGAAGAAGATTTACCAGTGGTAAGAATTGTTAATAACTCTATGTACGCTCCGGAAGAACCTTTGCAATGTAATATGGTTTCAGAGTCAGAAATAATGGATGAGGAAGATAACGTAATAGAGTATGTATAAGTTTTCCCGAGCATCTAGATCTTGATCAAAAGTCAAGAAGTATGTATTGAGTAATGAAAAATTTGGAGTTTAGAAGCAGAGTTGGCGTACAATTAATCAAGTTGTATGATTAGTCAATATATTGCGTCGATTGGTGAAATGAATTATAATTAATTATTGAAAATTGTATGTAGAAAACAAAATGGAAATTATGTTATAAAATAAATACTATATATTTACAAAAAGATATTGTTTGATGTTATTTTTATTTTGGAAATTTTTTAACTAAAAATTTGTTATTAATAAATGGAAAAGTATCTATAAAATAATTGACAGATGTCGCTGAAACCGTTTAATATTAAATTATTTCTATCTGCACTTATTTTAAATTTACATATATTTTCTGCTTCCTTGCATATCTGAAATTACTCAATTAGTACGGTTTCATTCAAGGAAAATGTTTATTTAAAATAATAGACATATATCGGTGAAATCGCTTATAGCTATCTTTTAGTAGAAATATTTGAAATAAGTCGATTGGTATAATTTTATTTAAAGGACATTTCATAGACAGTTTACTGTTAAATTCATTCTTTTTACAGAAAAAACTATAATATCTGATAATCAAAATCTTATTTTTGTGCTTCGATCTGAACTACAACTCTATTTTCAGATTTCATGTCCAAAAATACAATGTAAGAGTCTTTAGTGCTGACTTAATTACGTACATCAGTTACGTAATGAAGTCATTACGTACGTAATTAATCACAACCGTCTGAACGAACTAACATATAAATAAATATTCATTTGAACGTACAATGATATCAGTAGAAGCAGTTTCAGCACGGAACATTAAAACATTGTGTCTGGATGTAAACAATCTACTTCCTTGATTCAGGTAAAGTCTTTCCAATTTCAGAAGTGGTTCGCGAGGAGAAAAATGTTGGGAAACACTGCTTTAGAAAATACAGAATTCTTGTTCAAAGTTGTGTTCAAAGAATGTATTATTTCATAAAAAAACATAAAATATCATATAAATATGTATTTTTATTGTGTAATTATTGAGTGATCTTAATTCAATGAAGAATATATTCACGCATTCTACAAATGCATTAATAAAACATATGTTGCTTAAGTCGAACGTTCAACTATTTTTTTTCGTAATCCACGTGGCGCCAATGCAGATCAGGTTCTCTCGTATCTCGGTAACTTTTTCTTCTGATATTGTTTTCATTCTTTTTTAAATTTTAGTATGCATTAAAATGCGACACCATTGTCCGCTTCTACACAATAATAAATTCATCTCGTTTGCCGTCATTAATGTGGCTATGACTAAGATCTTTCACCTCCCATCATCTCCTGTCCTCTCGACCACCACCGTACACTGTACTCTTCTCGTTTCGTAGTCGTAGTCGCGGCTGCTCCTACTTTGCATTTAATTTAATTTTTTCCACTCTTCCCATTTGTGTGCAACCTAATGATAATATTTCGTTCCACGGAACCCGAGCCATTTGAATATTTTAAGGTGCAACCGCCGCCTCCCCCAGACTCTCTTCGCAACCACCGTAGGCTTCACAAACAATGACCAAAATGGAAATGTATGCATGCACGTTTTTCGTATGAATACTCTGTTAATACACGACCACTGCCTTTCTCTTCATTCTTCATTTTGTTTACAAAATACGATGTTGTATTCAATCATACATACTGTTCATCCTTCTAGTCCTTATAACTGTTATAATCCTTTTATTGATATAAATTTCAAATTATATTTACGTTCTTTTAAACTGTTCAACATAATTCGATTATCAAAATTTATTTCTTGTTTCCCAAAGTTACAACAAAATAAATTTATTATATAGACTAGGGGTCGGCAAACTTTTTAGAACAAAGCCTATTATTTTTGTTAGGTGAATGAATTTTCCTTATCCAACATCCCTTAACTCTTTGAAATTCTTAAATTTCTAGGCCCAATACATTTTTAGACAACTGAATCAGACAACTAGGTCAACTGAATCAACATTGGATGGTATGGCCTATTAAGATTCATCCTTTGACATATTTTGATAACTCTTTCCTGGACATTTCCTAGACTCCAGAAGTCCGGTTCCAGAAGGAATTAATTCCAACATTTGTAATTCTCCCGTCATCAACTAAAAACAATTGTCACTATGAGCGACTCCCTAAACTTTTTCGAAACAGGAAATATCTTAAAAAAGGCTCTTTGTTCAAAAAACGTTGCCTACCCATGTCCCAATCTAACATTATCATATAAAACTCTTAATAAATCTTTTGAATTACTTCTTTTTTTTATTCCTAATACGTATAACAAAATTAAACTTAAATGAATGACTTCTAATGTAAAAGTATTAACGTAAACTGGATTACATATAATAGGAATCTACGCGCTTCGGACTAATCATATTATTACTTTCTCTTATTTATCATTTTCTTAATGCGACACTGGAATATACATAGTATCTGCTCATTATTATGTAAGGTTTACAATTAACAATTCATTTTATCTTAAAATCAGGATATATATTATTATATAAATAAATAGTAATAGTGACTAAAATAAAGGTATCGTCTTACATAATTAATAATTCTCATTTTTTTATTTGCTAACTTTTCATTTATTCTATCTACTCGCGCTGTGTATTTTATTTTATACACCACATGTATTACTGTCATACATGATTGTATTAAAACGTTTTTATGTTAACTAATGCTTTTTTATAGAAATTTATTGTAGCTCATGCAAGCACGAAATATTTTAGAATATGTTCCATCGTTTGTCCATAGTTCCAAATGGGTATAATTCTGTTTCTCATACCCAGATAACAAAAACAAGCCTAAGAGTGCTGTGTTAGCATTTCTGTGTTTGTGACATCTGCAGAGCAAGAACGAATGTGCACAAACATAACTTCTTTCTATCTCAGTCGACACAATACTACACCATTTAATAAACACTTTGGGCATAGATTTACATTAAGTGTAATTGATGGGGAAAAGAGAATATTGATGTGGTATCATTTCTTAGAATATTGGTGTACTTTTTACACCGACGTGAGTAGTTAAATATTAAGTACATATAACACGTTTCTTGTAAATATTTAATGAAAAATAAAATATAATGAAATTTTTCATATTAAATTGATTAGAATTGAAAATAATATATTTTGCCTTTCAGAAGAGTAGAACTAGTTGCAATTACTTTAACAATTTTACAAATCAGGATTATTTCTTTAAATGTTTGTAATATATTTTCATAATAAATAATTTTATAAGTAAAAATAAATGTTCCATCCACCCTTTATATACAAGCAATTTATCTAAACAAAAATATACTACAATATTTTCATATTTTAATGTTTCAGCTTGCCAGAAGATACCAGATATAAACAGAAAACCGAAAACTCCGACGCAAATGGTGAGTGAAACGTTTATTTTCTTAACTTGTTTCCGATTTTCTATACGTTTCCGTCAAAAGAACATTCTTTGCGATGCGAATCGACAGCAAAATATTTACCTTCAATAACATCGTTTCACGGTCACATCGATTATCATCGAGCTTATGCAATCAAAAGCAAACGATTTCCTTTTTCCTGGAACGATTTAAATCGCGTGATCCTAGCGGACGCCACCTTTGTTTTGTATTGTTTTTTTTCTTGCAATTAGGTGAACGATGCATGTATTGCATAACTAATTTGTATGCATAGTAGCGGATCGTTTAGCAATGTTTATCGCAGGAAAATCACATGCCATTAGTGAGTAATACTCGATTGCATTTAACGTTCTGAATAGAAACGTCTCAATCAGAGCAACATTTGCTACTGTTGTGCTAAAGGTAATTTACATATTTTTTTTATATTCATTATTCCTTGATATTAATTGCATGATTTAAATGAAATATTTTTTTCTTGATTTTAAAATGAAGACGGAAAAAAAAATTAATGAAACTACAAAATATATATTTAAATAGTAAATATATTCAATAGTCTTCTAAAAATCATTCTACTTGGGTTGTTTATAAAATAACATTTTAAAAGAAAAGTAGAAATCAATTTAAACAAATTATAAAACTCGTTTGGCTATGATTTAGTAGGTATAATGTTAATTTTCTACTTAAATCTGTAGCTTCTTTACTATCTAATATAATATGAAACTTCTTATTTCTATAAAAAAATATACATTTTATAGCTTAATAATCTGGTTATTCATTATTGTCATTACTTTGTTATATTTTATTATACTAATAAAAATTAAGTTCAAAAAAAAGGAGAAGGCAAATATGCTTTAGATAATAAAACGATGAGGGAAATAAAATAAGTTTAGTGAATGTGTTTTGGAGGAAATGGTAAAATATCTTACGATTTATTGTAGATAATTTTGTATTTGAAGAATACATGCAAGGATGTTTCTTAATAATTGTGCAACAAAAATATAAATGATTCTAAATTAGTGATAGTTAATAAGCAGATACTATCTTTGTATTAAGATCTTTACTTCAGTATAGGAATTTGAATAATTTATATCGAAAATTGTTAGATATAAATTAGGTACAGTAAATACAAATTATTATTTATTTAAACGTTTTTATTGGATTTAATTTGGACCCAAAGGTTTTCTTTTTAATCTAATTGTTATATTTATTTTCATTGGAATATGTTGTAATTAATGCTATTAATAACTTATGTAAGAAGGAAATTAAATCTTTGGTGTTATGAATCGAAAAATACGTATTTCATAGTTAATGGTGAAAAATTAGTTAATTTCTTTTTTCTAGATTTTCTATTATAATTACATATGGCACCAATTTATATAACAAATGCATTATTACAAGTGAGCAAAACATATGTTTAGGGTTTGTCGGTTTTTAAAACTTGTTTTTTGAAAACGGGTTTTTCTGAGAAAATTTATGTAATTGGAAAACTAATGTAATGTAAACTATGTAAATTGGAAATTGCTTTTTTCCGACTAAGAAACCGGTTTTTGAGTCTAGACTTAAAATATAAAAATTAATGAATTATTTTAATTATTTACTTAAAAACATAATGATAAATAATGAAAAAAAATGATAAATAAATTGAATTCTTAGGTTTTTAGTTAATTTACAAAATCGACAGAACGTTTATACAAAGACGTCTAACTTATTTTTTTGACTAGCTTCAAAAAGTGAGATCATTAAGTTTTTTTCGACAAATATTATCAAGATTGTATCCAAATTATTCAAAAAGAAATCATAGCATTGCTTTGAAAAAATCAGTTCATAAATGTCTATTGACCTGAATATGTGACTTTGCCATGAATCAACCTACTAAAAAGAAGGATCTTATAGTATTAGAGGGTGCAAGGATAAGAATATAATTGATCATTTAATGCTCTAAAGACGATTAAACCCAAGTGAGTTTCTTATATTTCTAAAAAGAAAAGAATCCGTGTGAGCAATAGAAAATAAGTTCTAAAAATCCCTTTTCTCTATTTTTCTGTGAACATACGAAAACCGGTTTTGTAGAAAAGTTGATATTCGAAAACCGGTTTTTAAAAGTAGGTTTTTGTATAAATCCTACTTGTATTGATGCAGGACTAAACATAACATAAATACTGATAATTAAAGAGTATTTTAGAATTATTTACAATAAAATGTTATATCTGCAATGCAATGCAGAAGGGCCCACGAGTGTGGGGCCTCCGATAACGACCATGCTTGTATACTTGCTTTTCTTGCTATTCCACTTTTTAACAGCAATTTGTTGATAAGTAAACAGTAAGTTTTCAGTTTATAGGAATATAAGTAATTGAAATGAGATAAATATCTGTCAATGGTATCAACAATGAAGTAATTGACATTCATCATAATAATAACAAAGAGTAATCGGTACTTCTGAAGTCTGATATGATGTGTATATTATCAAGCGCAAAGTACGTTTAATACATTTTTTTGTACTTTGATTTCTCAGATGTGGACGATAAACATGTGTCTAAATGCATCTCCAATTACGACAATTTGCTCTGCCCAACATGCGGCACGCCGAAGATGCTGTAAATCTGAAGCAGTCGAATTATGGCTCTTGACCCTCACGACCCGTCCTCCTCTCGTGTAAGTGCGGGAAGCATGATGACCTGACCCTCGCTTCTTGCCTTCTTCTTCCGGGATAGAAACCCAAGCAAATCCCACCCTTCCAAGTGCATCAATTGAATCCAGCATTTTACAATAAAAAAAACACACACACGAAGCAAAAGTGTATTAGCATGCGAGACGACTGTACATTTTCACAAATATGTGTATCTATTGAATGGCGCAAAACGAAAACCGAGCACGAGCTGAATAACTTTAAATAAACGGAAACAAAACGGTCCCTTTCTTTTTATTTCTTTTGCTTTGCGTTCCCATTCTTCGTTCGTGCACTTGCTGCAACCGCATTGTTGTTGATGGTAAACAATTGGTGGGTGGGTGGTTAGGCGGCGGCCCTTCGGTGCGAAAGCAATCGTTAAATTTGATTAAACCAATTGGTTTTTATTGATGGCTGAGGCTTCAATCAAATATAAATTGGAATATGTACATGCTCCATAATCGAATCAACGCTTTCCTATCACGTACACTATATGTATATATATATATATACATATACATAGAGAGGAGAGACACATATATAAATGTGTGTATATAAAAAAAAATCTATTACTATTGCCAGAGCTGCAGCAGTCCTCTATATCTGGATGGAAGGGGCACAATTTCCAAATGGATAAATAAACAAATGACCTGCACCGGTTCGTGTAAATATTTATTGGTGCTATAGTCGTCGGTGTGCTCGTCCATGGTTCATGTAATCCCCGGTTGAACGCTCGAACGGCTTCCTCCTCCTCCTCCACCACTTTTTTGTTTTGTTTTTGGGCATCCAATTTAATCACGGGTTCGCTCATTTGACGATTGTAAATATTCACGTCGAGCGCAGTTAATGCTTAATTTAGGAGCTGATGTAAACATATTTTGGTTCATTAGACCTCTCCACTCGACGCTTAGTCAATTACAATCCGGTCGCTCTTGTATAATGAGTTCGAAGTGTATACCAAAAGACAAGCTGTATCTTAGTTTATTTTATTAATGTTCTTCCTGTTGTTCCTTCTTAATTACACAAAAACACCGAGATGGACTATTTGTGTTATTGTTTAATTATATAATATCCTGTGTTTTCACTGTTTTCTTTTTCAGATTCGGTCCTAATTACTACCCAATTGTATTATTAAGTTATTTAATATTGGATTAGTATTATTAATTTAAATATTTACATTAGCGCTTAGTGTGTGTTTCTATAAGATAAACACTAAACAAAACAAAATCATATTATTATATAGTAAATAGGTAAACTTTGAACGTTCTTAGGATTTGAGTAAATCGCGTTATATTGAATCAGCGTTAATCGAGGTGTTACTGTATATACACTTTTTAATTGCTGTTCTTTGTACAAAATATTGTTTGAATATTTTTATTCTGGAATTTTTAAGGTTAATAGGAACTGGCTTTAGGAATGTTGAATTGAGTTTTCTAGGAAACTAACTACAAGCTTCTTAATTGTACCAAGATTTTATTTAGAGAATGTCGGTCGTGTACGATTAAATGTGATGTATTCTCAATTAGTAATAATGTCAGAGCAACAATAGTTGTCCATTGTTTTCTCAGCAACGTTTCAAAGATGATGGAATGAAAATTAACACCTAGAATATCTATTCGTTTTTTCAATATAAAAAAAATCGAAGAAAAAAATAAAAATTAACACGTCAAATACAAACTAAAAGAGTTCTCTTTTTATAATTTAATCTTTAGAAATTATTAATTTTTTAATGAATTAATGATAGAGGGAAATACTTGTACAAAATGAATACACCAATACCTCGCAAAGTCCGGTTTCAATCAGTCTGGATTGAAAATTTTAAAACAAGTTGATACACACAAATGTTTGTTTTTCTTTCATTTATTCTTTCATTTATAGCAGTGGTTATAGCACCGTCTCGTTGCAAAGAAACAAGTTCATGGTTCTCATTGATTGTAGGACTATGCGAGATATTTCCGTAATTAAATTAACAAATTTACATAATATAAAATTAAACTAAGTACTAATTTCAATATTAAAATAGTTTCGTTTTCTAAAGTTTGCAAGATGAGTATGTTTGTATTTGGGTAAAGAGTGCGCTGTAAACAGGAAAAACGGTGATGCAATCAGCATGCACGTTAAAATGTATACAAAGCGAAGTTGCCGGGTGGAATTTTCCGTGGAAAATTGTTATTGTTCCATTAGTTTTTGTTATCCGTGTCGGGTTTCCATGCTTCCAGAACGCAGCGTGAATGGCGAAATGAAAACAAATAAGCAGGTTTAAAGAACCGAACGCTCGTGGTCTGCAGACGAGAGCGTCGATTTTAGACTAAACATACGCTGAAATTGAACGCAAACGCGAATTTGTTACATTCATTTCTCCATTATTTTTTATTCGTCTGCAGAAAGAAAGAAAAAAGGAGGAGTACGCGAAAGGAGGAAGGAAGGTACGACTAAAACATAACAAATTACCGGAGGAACGGTCGGAGCGTACAGAAATTGGTCGAGACTGAATGGAACAATCGATTCTCGACGGTTGAATTCGTCGTGTTGTTTTTAAAAGCTTACTTTTCGAATTGCTTTCAATACTTTTATGTATATATTCGTTTCTCTTTTGTGTTTTGACTTAGTCAGAAAATTACTGTACTGCATTATCTTTTATGCTACAGTCGTTATAATCGTTTCCATTGTCTTTACAAATAGTAGTAATAACTGTTAATAGGTATTTCTACAAATATTCCATTGAATTTTGTAAGGCATTACGAATTATTACACTTAAACAAATATTATATTTATAATTAATTTAGGACAAAATAACAATTGCATCAATCATTGAACAAATACTTTTATTGCAATAAGTACTATTAATTTCAATAAGAAAATATATTGAAAGTAAACTCACAAATTGAAATATTTGTACAAACACTTGGTAATTGCTATAGGAATCACAAGTACTTCTTAAACTGCAGGAGAATCCCGTGTCACGTGAGTTTCCTACAACGCGCTAAAAATTGGGTGAAGTAAAAAGTTATGAGCGTTTTTTATTAGATGGCTTTAGTGAGCCATATCTCACGATGTATGTGTTACATCTTCTCATTCTATACTGTAACTTAAAGGCGATAATCAGTTTTAAGTTTAGTGAATCCAGTTGTGTGATACAGCGTTCCAAAATGGAGGTAAAAAAGAGAAAATTTGATACATTCTTCAGTATCTATACAACCAATGGGAAAAGCGGAGCATTCGGCCAAAAATTGTGTGTTGTTTATAAACCTAATATAATATTGAATGCAACAGCAAAGCGTTGGTTTCAATGCATCCGTTCTGGTAATATGGACGTCGAAGATGAGACACGCTCTGGAAGGCCAATCGTCGAAAATGTTGATAAAATCATGGAAATCGTCCATGCAAGCACTTATTTAATTGCTGAAGATTAACCAAAAAAAAATATTTAGAACCATTTACATAAGGCTGGTCTCAAGAAGAAGTATGGGACAAAACGCTCAGAACTTTTTACTTCACCCAATATATTGGGACAGCTGTTATTGATCGAGTTAAATAGTAATATACATTTTACTAGTAATACACATTTATATAATTTGATAATTTGTTTGGATTTGGATTAATCATCGCAGTTATTGTAAATTCTATTTTATTTTATAATATCTTATGAGAAGGAATTTAAAACGATATTTAAATCATACTGTTGCAACCGTTTAATATTTGTAGTTGACTTCCTGAGAGGATTAACCATAAACTGCTGGAATCAGGACGGCTATATATGGACAGCAGAAGTAGATCGTATTCAGCCTGTTCTTTATTTAGTGTTTTTTTAACATTACGTAATTTTAATATGCAACTGTCCTCCTTTTTAAATCATAAGCTGCGTGCATTCCAGATTGAACCATTTCGATGTTAGCCTTTACTTTCGAAATATATAAAAATATTGATATTAAATGAAATTTAAAAACATATTAAACATAACTTAATTTATGGGTTAAATAGAATAAAATCTATAAGGTGATTTCGTAACTATCGTCACCTGAAAAACATTTTTAATGCATATGAAAACTATTATTATTTTATTTCAACAAAAAAAATTGTAAATAACTAATATAAAATTGTATTTATTTATTTAACAATTTTTATTGGATGAAAGGATTGTCAATCGTATAGATTTTTAATATTTGTATATTCTACAATTAAATTTGCCACAGTTATATTTTATATAAAGAATTGAAAAAATTTAATATGAAATTTAAAAATTTTGTCAAAAGACTGGAAAAAAATCTAAATTTCAAGTAAGGCTCACATATTAATTATGAAATGTTTAATTAATTTTAGCGGTAAATATTTTTTTATTAATTTATTCTAATCTATACATTAACTTCAACGCTTCAATTAAATAAATTATGACAGATTTTCAAATATATATTGGTGATTTTACAACACTATACGAAATATTAAATCAAATTCATTAAATATTTGTTATAAATTTACAATATTTTCACATGTTTATTTTATAACGAAAAGAGAATTTATAAAAATTAATTTATCAATACTATAAGAGAAGTTTTTGCTTCTTTCTTCTGAAAACAATAAATAACTCCAGTTAGAGCTCTTAAGACGCAGGCATGACAGTGAAAATAAATGTCGGAAATTCCCCGGTAATATCCGGAATGAAATGTTCCCGTTTCAACGAAGGATAGATGAAATTACAAAAACAAACACATATTATGAAAGATTAATTGCAATGAATTTTCTAACCACGTCAAATAAACATGATAAAATTGATTAAATATTTATATCAACTTAAAAGTATATATAAATATTTGTTAACCAACATTATATAAATTTGATAACAAAATTTTAAAGTTATCGGATCTATTTGTAAATTTATTTTAATTTTTCAATAATTTTTGTTGTTATTATTATTAAAATAAAAAATATTGATTAAATTAACAGTTAATTATTTTGATTTGATGCTAAAATACATACGAAATTGGTAAACATTTATATATTGGGTTGTCAGGAATGTTCGTGGAGATTTTTCACGAAAATGCAAAATCAAAACTTGATTTATTATAAACCTTTCTTCATCTTTCACGCAACTTAAACATTACATCCTACCAGA